AACAGACCCGGTTTGCTCAAATTTATTGATTATTTTCACAATCGCACTGCGACTTGGTGCTTCATGATGACCAAATTTAGTACGAACTTTCCGAACCGTTTCTGCGAAACTTTCACCATTTTTATAGCGAATTTCTACCATTTCTATGCGTTGCGCGACTGTGTATCGTTACATTTTCACAAACCCCCTAATTTTTAGCTGTCACCTGTCAAATACTGACATTCAAACTTTGACCGTTCAGAAATGCCGCGAAATTTAAAATGACACCTACTTTTGGGAAACCCTTTATATTAGGGGCTTTAGTTAGTATGAGGAAGTGTTAGCTTGGAACTTGAAAAGTATTTGATGAGTGCGCCTTGTGCAATTAGGAAGAAAGCGGCAGATTTCATGATGTGTCTAGGATGTTGAACACAAAAAAGATGGAATTTAGGAGGATAGGGAGGCGATTGGGCATCCACCCTCTGAGTATCACAATGGAAATTCTTTGTCTCCAAACCTTTTTTTTTCTTCCAAAAGGATTTCATACTCAAGTTGCTAAACTCAGTTGGATTTAGGTCTTGAAGATTTGGAAGTGCTTGATTTTCACTTTCATGGTTGCAACAATTAACCAAATTAATCGGAATAATTGACTACAAATACAACTGAAAATAGATAAGAAACTGCTGCAATTAAGAAATTTGTTGCAGAAGAGAAGTGAGAATAGCTAGACTTGTTTCTCCGGGCCCAGAGGATGAGAATTTTACTCAACTGATGTAAAGCTTGTGAAGCTGAGGCCGTAACTCCATCAGTTGAACAAACCGCATGAGAAGTCCTATCAATGCATTGTTTCCAAAACCTCTCAGGTGTAAGGTTTCCTCGGTGTGAATTTAGCGTCGCAAAGATGTTAAATTTAAGACCTATTATGAGGTATTCCTGCAACTTTAATACAATTATATTAATGCTGAAAAACAAGACAAGATATAGGAAGGTTTATTTGAAAGGCATGAAGTGGACTATGCCGTGGGAGGTGCCTTCTTTCTGACCGGGAAAACGCCTGTACAATCTCATGGGAAACACCCAGAACCAGAACCAGGGTGTTTTCCATGAAATTCAGTAGCGACTGATCGATTTGGCGTGCCTGGCCTTCCACCCATTAGAACAAACTCCACCCCTGTCCCACCCTCTCTTCTTTTGTTGATTTTGCAGCCATCACTTACCTGGGAAAAAAAAGTACTATAGTCCAACAGTGAAATCCCCTATGGTGCGCGACTTTTGCGCCACCCTGCACAAGCAGGAGAAACCGGATTCGCTATTGTATGTCTTTCTATTTTCCATAGGAGTTTGAAGGGAAGTAAACAGACAGATACGAGGATGTATAGTTACTCGATTTGATTTTACAGGTGGGGAGGTTTCTTCATAACATCTGCCTGAATAATTTATTTTAATTCTGTGAATTCATCTATTGATACGCTGCGCGAACACGCCGAGACAATCAGTCGTCTCTGTATGTGTGGAAAAAGGCAGACAGGAAGCGCCATTGAGCATTGATGAAATTCGGACGCTGGTGCCCTCCATGCGATCCAGATTCAGGGAAGAGGAAGGAGGTGAGACCACGAGTCACACATCTCACTGGACCTTCCTTTCATCTGGATCGAAACATATTTTCCTCTCATAACAGGGAATCAACGAGAGGAGAAGGGAGCGTGCCGTCCATCCATTGTCGACGCATTATCGGTCTGAGATGGAAGCGAAACAAACAAGACTTTGTAGGCCTCTTTCACTTTCTATGACACTCACTCCGCATGAAAGCATTGAAAAATATTCGTAAAGCCTTCAAGTATCAGCGGATCCCTACTTTCCAGCACGGCACCCTGTCTGCTCAGGATCGATTTACCGGGTAATTCCTCTTCTACTCTTAAGAAATTTGTACCCTGCCTGCCTCTAGCGACATTTCCCTCTTGTGTATCTGGTGCCCAATAATTCAGGGAAGAGAGCGACCCTATTGATTCCGAGGAGGAGGATGGAGGAGAGAAATCCTTGTCATTGAGCGACAGAACGTACTCCGCGACCGAGGAGATGCCTGACAATTACGGCCTAGCAAACGACTCGAGATCAGCGTGCAACACCTCAGCGTCAAGTTTGATCCAGTCTTCATTACATCAGACAGTCGTCCAAGAGAAAGGAATCCTCCAGGTGGGTACTTTACCAAACACCTAGTCCATCCTCGAATGAGACCTGAGGCGAATTTTTTTTTCAACGCTTCTGCCTGAAGGACCTCTCGGAGAACATGCACGAGGAAGTGTATGATTTGAAAGGGAAGTTATCTTCGATAGAGGAAGAGAAATCGAGACTCATGTCTTCCCTAGAGAGACAGAACGAGATCATTCGACGTCTGCAAGAAGAATTGGAATCATACAGGTCAGAGAGAGTTCATGAAGGGTTGTCACCTTTGAATATAACAAAATATGGACAAATATTCAAAATATACCCATAGTCACCTTAAACCAAGGTGCTAATCGATACTATTAGTGTGGCCTACTGCTTTTGACTTACGAAAAATAACAATACAAGGTATGTCGCAAAAGTTCTAGGGCTGATGTTCTGCCGCAGCCGCTTGAATGTATAGAATGTTCGCATTGCGATGGCCTTTTTTCGCTTTTTCGAGCCGTGGGAACAGAAAATGTCATGTGGAGACAAGTCAGGCGAATACGGAGGATGAGGCAAGGCAGACTTGTTTTTCGGCCAAAAACTTCGATAAACAATGCTGTGTGTGGGCGCGCATTTTCAGCACAAATTGCGAACCGAGTTTCCTTTTGTTCTGGCGTCAGATTTCCTCGGAACGAATCTCTCGCACAACTTTCTTTTACACAAATCCAGTCAAAATTCGGTGACAATTATCTTTGTCTATGTTCAACTCGTCCGCTAGCATCCGAACTGTTACTCGGCGATTTTTTTTTGCAAAAACTCCCGGACCCAGGGTGACATGCACCAGATCCGTTTAACTTTAAACTGATTCGTTTTCATAATGGGCGTCTATGGGAATAAGTTTATCTCGGTTAAACTGATTCCCATAGGGAACCTTTGTGAGATCAGTTTAGTTTAGCTTAAACGGATTCGGTGCATGTCACCCCCAATCGATGTTTTCATAGAACGTGCAGTGGAAGTGCGGCGCGACCTGGGATCATCTTCAACACTCTCTCTTCCATCGCGAAAACGACCGTACCACTTAAAAACACGAGAAAGCGATAAAGCTTCATCACTGTAAGCTTGTTGCAACAGGTTATGTGTCTGTGGCATTTTTACCCCGCTTAAAGCAAAATTTAATGTTCACTCGTTGCTCGTCCATCTCCGCCCATCACCTGACTAAGAATGACTAAGGCAAGTCGGCGCGCAAACACGAACGGGGAAGCGTGCTGCGCGTGCTGTGACAGGAATAAACGTGTAAGAACTTGCATGGGAGTTGGGCACTGAGTCTACTTCACGCATACATAAGAGAAATTAAATGAATATCTCCAAATTTTTAAACATTTAAAGTCAGTCTTGGAACTTTTGCGACATACCTTGTATTAGCTGCTGTTAAACTTCATTAAATAAAAAAATTGAACAAGTTTAAAATATGGACAAAACAGTGTCCATATTAGGACCAGTTTGCAGTATGGACATCGCATCTGAAATATGTACTGTCCATACTAATACCCAACCCTAGTTCTCTCGTCTGTGGTGAACCGATTGACTTGGTGTGCAAAGAAGACACTTTTTCTCCAGATCAGGTTTTGCCGATTGTGGCAAAACCTCAGAGGTGGGTCTGCAGGTGGATTCCGCGGTTTTGGAACCTGGTTATTCATCGGAATTGGAACTGGAGATAAGTAAGCTCATAGCTGGTACGATGGAGAGGACGTATGAAGTGAGGCCACAGGCGAAACCACATCGATTGTTGATGGGAGATGGTCATCATGGGAAGTCTCTGCGATTGACCGGAGGAGTAGATCGCTCTCAAATCCTCTCTTCCCCCCAAGGTGACGATCGAGGTCAAGGACTAGACTCGTCCAGGAAAATGAAGGGCCGTTTTTCCTCCAGCCATCGACGTCATCACGAGCGACTAGACCTTCATTCGGACGGAGATCGGCGGCAGCGTCGCCATCAACGCCGTCGAAGCCCAAGGAATCCACGGTTAAAGAGGAGCAACGAGGAGGAATCTAGGGATGAAGCCAGCCGAGACGAAGAGGAAGAGGACGAGAGAGAGAGTGGGAAAGAGCAGAGATGCAGAGATGAAAGGGGAGACGAAGAAAGAAGCCTTGAAACGGAAGAGGAGAAAAGGATCACCACGACGACCACCTCCAGGCTTCCAGCATATATTCACGATAGACGGACTCCCTGTCCCACCCCTCTGAGGGCTGATCATCGGTATCTCATTTCTCCATCATCCGGTCAGGTGTAGGAAAACGAGCAATTCCACCTAAGAACAAATGCTCTATACGGAAAGCAAGGGATCGAAATTCGAATTTCAGTCGTGACTGCACGTGTAGCATGTAGATTTTTCCTTTTGAAGCGACAACCCATCACATTATCTTGGGCAAAAGCGACATCCCTTTCCAGACATTTTTATTTTAGGTTTGTGTCTTTTTAAAATCAGTGTAACACCAACATTGTAGGGATATTGCCTGAAAATTGTCCACTTTAGCGGCAAGTACGTTTTAGAGTTTGACGAGAGAAAAATATGCAAATAACCGTTTACTACTTCCTCCCGTTCTCGTGCGAGTTCATCGCCCATCGTAGTACCCTTGACACGGCTTTGCGCTGGTATGTCTGTGCGGGAACTGCGTTTTCGGCCGTCGTGAGGGCGTGGCGAGGGAAAATCTTGCCTGGCTGGTAAACGTAAAAGAAGTTCATTAATTAACCCATCCGCATCGAATGACGTGTTGTTACGCATCGTCCCATGTTCTTCCGCTTAGCCTATGGCATGGAAAGGCATAGGCTAGGCCTTTCGCGTCAGGCTACGGTAGCAGAATTCTAGGTCAGATAGGCCGACAAGTCACTCGATGCGAATGGGTTAAGGGTTCGTATAAGGATATGCCAAACATTGAAATCGCCTTTCCCCCAAACGCGGGGTATCATCCACTTTTGACGAGGGCGTAGGTCTAATTCATTTTATATTATTTCCATTTTCATTTTAAAATTGGTTTCATAATAATTGCCTATTTACCTATGCCCTATTGCGCGGATGGTAGTGATTTATGCTTCCATGACAATGTGATTCTTGGGGTGATATCGGCATATTCAAGACGTTATTGCAGGGCTTTATGGAGGAATGCATCCCCAAGAAATCCATAAAATCGGGCAGGCAACCGGTCTGGTTTATGGGTAAAATCAAAGCTCTCATCGGGGATAAAAAGCGGAAATGGGATGCGTACAAGCGGACGGGAGATAGCACGGACTATGAGGAATATAAGAGGATCACGCGGAAGTTGAAGCGGGAAATTAGATCTGCGAGACGGGAGGTCGAGGAACGGCTGGCTAGCGATGCTAAGAAGAACCCTAGGGCTTTTTATCGGTATGCTAGTGGTAGGTGTCGACAGTCNCAAACCGCAGGTGCGGCTCAGGTCGAGACAGGAATTCTTTACTTGCAGAGTGGTGAACGCGTGGAATGCGTTAGATGACGAAGTAGTGGCTGCCCCGTTCTGTGACTATCTTTAAGAAGAAACTAGATGCTTTCATGGACAGGCAAAAAGGTGGGGGGCAATGTTGACGTAGGTACTAGACAGTAAGCAACTAGGATAGTCAAATAAAAACAAAAAAAAAATACAAAAATATTTAGCTTTAAGAGGGTTAGGCCTATCCTAAAATTAAGGAATGCTCGACCTCGACACGTGATATCGAAATGGGCGAAATCGCCTCTTGATATCACTAACTCTCCTGACTCCTGGCATCTGTGACGTATCAGTTGTTTTCCGTGTGAGCTGGTGATCCAGCGACGTTGAAGGCCTCTGAAAGCATTTAGGCAAACGAGTTCCAAGTCTGCTCAATGAATGCGAGCTTGGAGATATTGTCCGGTGATGAGGTCTCGCTCATATGTGACACCGTTATCAACGCTGATCTCTGACGTTTACTTCTGAGCGGAGTGCTGTATTGATATGATGGACGCTGCCTGAGAGGAATATTAGAAGAGATGAGGTGTAAAATAACGAGCAGTGAAGTGCGAGGAGAATCGAGACGAGTTTCACAAATCGGTGTCGTGCCATATGCAACAATGTTGCCTGGACAAGTTGGTGAGCGAATGAAGCCGACAGAGCGGGCGGAGGGAAGAGACAGTGGTCATGAATACATGAGCACGAAGTGTTGAGAGGGGGCGTTGAGGTCAATCCAGAGGAATCGCCTGGGGACTGTCTGGAGGATCGGAAATGAATGCGATGACTCCTGTGCGGGATAGCGCTTACACCTCTCTTTTATTCAGTGGGACGAAGTGGAATCCAGGAGATGTGTTGTGCGAAGAAGAGGGTCCTGTAATTTCACAAAAATGCCAGGAAAAAGGAGAAAGAATAGTATTTTATGATATTTTGAACTTAGGGAGCATAAGTAGAGGATCCCAAGTTCAGAGCAGTAGTGAATTTTCTTATGTCTATATTCCTTTAGTGCTTTTGATCATCATCATATAAGCTCGCAAATAACCAAAGTTTCATGAATTATGTTAGTGTGCCGTGCTGTGTTATGTCGCTGAAGGATGTTTACAAAAAGACAATATTTTCATGTCGCATGGACTTAGAGAGATGCTCATCTTAAGAGTTCTATAAATCGATACCGTAAAAAGTTCCACCCACTGCTTACTCTGTCCAACACTCCGATAAGGAAGGAGATTCCGAAGGAGAACGGAGAGGGAAAGGAAATGAAGGTCAAGAAAGGACGTAAAGAAGAAAGGAAAGATGAAGACGATACGTTGGAAGGCTGGAGGGAATCCGAACTGATGGGCTTCCGAGTTCCAACTTTCGTCGAAGGTCGACAGAAAAGGGACAAAGGTCGAAGTTCTCAAACGAGTGGCTCTAGAGGTTCGATGAGTAGACTCCAAGGAATCCTGGGCTCCGTCACGTCTGCCTCCACCTCCTCTCACCCACGCAGCAAATTCCACCCTTTCCCTCAAAAAGGGCCAAGAGAAGGAAAGAAAGGGGGGAAGACTAGGAAAGGAAAGAGGAGGAATCGGCAGGAGGAAAATGAGACACTCTTTTATCCCCTCTGCCCCGGCCACATCTTCGCCGACTTCTAAATTTCCTCCTCCAAGCAAAGAAAACACCTTTCCTCGATTTCCTTCGCTCATTAGTGTGTGCAACAGTGATGGGAGTCGTGAATATATTTTCATCCTACCAGCTATATCGTGAGAGACTTCAGCTTGTGGGATTGGCTTAGAAGAGTGAGAAGATTTCTGTCAAAAATTTCTCGCGCAAAGGTAAGAAGGGCGTAACTCCATTCATTCAGTCCCCAGTCGCATTTGCTATTCACCATGGCTATTTAAGTCCTCTGCTGGCGGCAATGCCTTCAGCCTTATGTTCTCTCGTAACAGGATGAAGTCCAGACAAAATGGAAGAGAACTGGATTCTACGACCTTTTTTTTTTTCCTGGGTCATAGAGTAGTGTGTAACTTGAGGCGACACTCCGAGAGGTGAGGAGGGGGGGGGGTCGAAATATTTCTGAGAATCTGCTGGCTTATCAACAACACTCCCGTGAGGCGTGCTTCGTGGAAGTCGTATCGGGAATCGACTTATTCGGGGACACGACCCAAAGGGAGTCCCTCAACGTAATACGCGTGTTTCGTTGAGTTCACTGTTTGGCCATGGAGGAGTTATTAATGTGCGCACGCTTGGTGGAGAATCGACATTGAGATCTATAGATCTATTGCGAACCCTGTCAATGAATGGGGTTCGAACGGAGTGTCGCCTCTAGTTACAGTCTATCTCTACTCGATGATACCATCCGAAACTAGTTTTGAGCCACAATTGGAGTAGTAGCCTCATGCCTGGCCTCATGCGTTTGAACGGGAGAAAAGTTGTCGCATGTTGAGGTCGAAACTCGGCAGGAGATTGGGACGTCCTTCGTTTTCGATCTGTTTCTCCAACATGGCAACCAAACGGTCTCACATTTTCTTTGCAATGACGTCCGCGGTAGAAAGGCATTGAATAATGTCAGACCTAAACCGCTAAATTATAGGCTTCTACGTTTTATGATAATTTCACTGCCCAAGTAGTAAGATCAAGTCTGAATCATCTGCTTCTTTCATGCCCTTGCTTTCAGTTCCATGAAGTTCCAGTTCCGTCACGATCTGTACAAAGTAGATAAGATTATAAATAGTTGTACTTTTCCTCAAAATTCATAACCCAGATCAATGAATGTATCTTTCCTTGGTTATCGCGAGATGGCGCCTCTGGCACCGCGTAATCCACTACAGTCCGACCAATCACTGTTTCTATGCCTATATCTGATATTTGGAGAGTAGGATGATTCCACCTGTGGCGGGAGAAGGTGGCTTTTGTCGATATCTCGTAATTGTGGAAGAGCGAGCCCTTTTCAGTGCAATATATATATCTTTTTTTTTTTTAGATTCTCCTCCCTCGTGTAATACCGTGCTACCAAAGAAAGTTGAAAGTATGTGTTTTAGTCGAATCACCTACAGATGTTCGTTAATGCACATATCGTCCAGGAGTGCTGGAAGGAAAGGGAAGAGGACAAAAGACACGACATGAAAACCTGTGCCTGCACATTGGAGAGGGACAAACCTGTCTGGCTGCAGTCCTCTTTCGTCTGTTCAACGCGACGGATGTTCGAACTCGTCTGGGCTCGTACTTTCATACGGGAGTTCATCTTCAGCACAATATCACATTTCCATTCGAGATGGGTGAGTTCCCTTTTCGTTTCGAAAGGCCCGATGTGTACTTGTGCACCTCAGGAATCGGGGATGGGCCAAGAATATGATTGTCAGCTGCACAGATTCCGTGGCGACCCACGACCCAGTTCACTGACAAGTGGACTTGCTCGAATAACAGAGCCATGTGCTTGCCGACCGGTATATAGTCTATCCGGTCCAACTTTGCCACACTTTTAATCCTCAAAGGAGTCGTTAAATGCCATCCATCTTCCTCTCCCCTCAGGGGAGAGGGTGATTTCCCTTTGACCCCTCCGCCAGACACTGGCGCGACGCTCCTGAGGGGAGGGGGGGCATCACATAATAATAATAATGGGTTTATTCCAAAATCGGGGACTGTTGTGCTGGGCAAATTGGGTCCCGTCGTGAGATACAAAACATGTCACAAGACAACGAGATTCAACAATAGGATAAGTCGCAATAGGGTTCAGATTGACTGGTTCAAGAGTCTGATAATGAAGGGGACGGGGGAACGATAAAACCGTTCCGTGCGGCACCTAAACTCTTTAAGAAGGGATGATGTGTCAAGACGTAGTTTCATGGAGTATGGTTGTCTTAGGGGTGGAAGAATATGACGCCGGGAGGGGTTGGTGAGAAGGGATTTTCCTTAGGGTACCTAAGGTGAGACTCTGACGTCTTAGGTGCGAAGAAGGCAGGTTAAGGGTTGTGAGGGCCTCTTCATAGTTGGTGTAGTTCTTGGACAAAATGATGCGGACGGCGCGCTTTTGCACTCTCTCTATGTTGTTAGCCTGTGCGGAAGTTAACGAATTGTGCCACACAGGGCATGCATATTCCAAGGATGTAGGTAGTCCAGGTCAGGATAAGGTCTTCTTTGGATGCACCGAAGGACTTCAAGATCTTCAACATGAAGAGGCGACGCGATGCCTTGCTAACGATTAAGGTCGTATTGTCTTTCCACGAAAGGGTGCTTTGAATCACTAAGCCGAGGAGGCGCACAGAACCCTGACCTACC